ATAGTAGAAGATGCAGTAATGGTATTAGTAGAAGCAGTAGTAGTAAATGCAGTAGTAGTATTAAGGGAAGTCATAGTAGTAGATACAGTAATAGTATTCAGTGTATGTAATAGTATTAGGTGCAGTAGTGGTATTAGTAGAAGTAATAGTAGTAAATGCAGTAGTAGTATTAAGGGAAGTCATAGTAGTAGATACAGTAATAGTATTCAGTGTATGTAATAGTAGTAGATACAGTAGTAGAATTAGTATTAGTAGTAGTAGTAGATGTTTTCTGTAAGACTAATCGTTCTGTTCGTTTCCGTTGCATACTTTTAGTTGTCTTTTATAAAGCAGCAGCTGCAATTCATCAACTCAATGGGACGCAGAAAAAAAAAAAACAGAAAATCGCTAGAGAAATAGAGAAATACGTTTTTATGTAGCAAACTAGAGAGCACTTTTAATTAAACTATTTTCGTAATACATATAATATCAAATTTATGTTATTTAAGTCATTGAGTAGACCTAATGCCACTGAAGGGGTGTGTTTGGTAGATATGCAGAATATTATTTACCTATCGCTTATATAAAATATTCGAGTGAGTACTTCAAACTCTGGCGTCATCAATAGCTATCTTACATTTATTAATTAGATTATCTCTTTTATCAGTGGTCGAAATTAATCATATCTTAAGTCAAACGTGTGATCTTTCTTTGAAAGAGCTGTACCTTGGCGAGTTGGCAGATCTATGAACTTGTTCAGTTCAGGTGTTGAATTAATTTTATAGCAATGATTAAAGGCTGTTGTGTATCGAAGACCATCACAGATCTCGCAAAATAATGTCTATAAATTTATCAATAAATAATATATACAGTCGACTCTTGTTATTTCAAACCTGCTTTATTTCGAACCTCTCATTAATTCAAAGTTATCACTCAGTAATTCGAACTAAAAATCATTGCTAAGACGCGGTAATTCGTACTCATATGGTTAAACACTCGACAATTCGAAATGTTTAAAGAGTCCCTTGAATTTCGAAATAACGAGAGTCGACTGTATAATGAAACAAAACATATGTAAGATATTTTAAATGGCATTTTGCACTGATACTCCCTGATTTTCATCAATTTAACAGTCATCAAACTAACTAAAGCTTGAGTTTTATATTCTCTCTCTGCTTTTTCTGTCTTGGATTCATCTGCATATCCAAATAAGTTGGTAAAGCTCATTTGTCGATAACCACAACCTTAGTTTATTCAGATCTGAATGAAATCAACAACATTTATACTTTGGCAAAGTATATCTGATTATTAAAGGCTCGTTCGGATAACTGTTTCAATGATACTTTGTTTGGCTTTCTTTTTTTCCCCAAGGTTCAGGGTATCTACGAGTCGCTCAGCTGCTTTGTTTACTGATTAGCATGGTGATCGACAAACTTTCCAAAGTGCATTTTGTTTTCGAAGTGGCCAGCGTCGTCTACACGACAACTAACAAATAATGCACTTACAGAATGTGAACAGAGCGCGAAACAAACGCAGATAGAGCTACAGATACAGATACAGTTAGAGATATAGATACAGTTCGACAGATAGCAGATAGATAGATAGATAGATAGATAGATGATAACAGTAATAGTTCAACTTTGAAATGCACTTGAAGCGAGCTGAGCGAAATTACGAAATGCCGAGCTGAGCTGAGCTGGGCTGAGCTGATACGAGGCTCGATGGGCCAATTTCTTGAGCTGAATAATCCCGATGGCCAATGGAAATATTTAATTGGGATTTATGTTGCGCTCTGGCGCAGACGAAAAGGCGCGAACGAGGCCAGACAGAAGCTGTCAACGGCCGACGGCGTCAGCAGGGGCCGGCCAGAGGCAGTTGGTCGATGGTCGCTGCTCGTTGGTCGATAAGTGGCATCAGATAAGCAGGCAAGGCGAAAGCGAGAGAGAGAGGGAGAGAGAGATGGCAGTTGTGTTGTCTCTTTGGCCTGGCAGTTGCCTGCTTTTGGGGGCCGAACATACTCCCTCTCTAAACACGCACATACGTATACATATATACATATATATATATATGTATATATATATCTGTATATATGTATGTATATATTGATATCTGTAGCTGGCGATAACAACCAGAGATTGTGTTTGTATTGCTGCAGCCGTAAACGTATATGGCAACCGGGCTACCGACTACTGGTTGGGGCCGATAAGCTGCAGCCCAGGCCCCAACTGCAGTCGAGGAAGACAGCTCCATGGAGCTAAATCATAATCAATGTCTGATCAAGCGAGCATATATCAAAATACGCTTAATACCGATGATAAGGCGGCAACAACAACAGGTAAACAAGCGCAGCGACTACTTCATGGATAGCCATATATGTATGTATGTATATATGTATATGTGGCTCGCTGTTGCCAGTCCATGGCTCCTATGTAGGTTGTTTCAGCTTGTATGGCGCACTATCACTGCGTTCCGTATCGCAAGCTGATATCGCAACGAGTTGTGTACAAATAAAGTTGTTGTAAGCGACACTGTAGTAGAGGAGCAACAGCAACAGCAACAGCAACAGCAGCAACACCAACAGCAGCAACACCAACAGCAGCAGCAACAGCAGCAGCAGCGGTGGCAGTGGCAATTGCAGCCGGGATTGGGATTCCGTGCCTCGGGCATCGGGCATCGGGAGTTATTGTTTGTCAATAAACATATGCGCCACATAATCGTCATCATAATAATATTACTCTTTGGCATTATTTTATTGCATTCCAATCAGACTGTGTGTGCGTGTGTGTGTGTGTGTGTGTGTGTAAATCGGGTAGCTGGCTGCCCGGCTGATTGACTGACTTTAATGCTTACAGTGGTATGGGAGCGTTTGGAAATGTAATGAAATGGCATAGAATTATAGATAGATCTATGAATAATAATTTATATAATGTAAATAATGCCTGAATGCCTTTGTCGCTCTGGCTTAGCAAATTGTTATTTAGAATTGATTTTTGATAACAATAAATAAATAATTAAATTATGAATAATTTTCTTGTTGAAATGCAACTCAAATTAATTCAAATTTAGATCTTATAAAAATAAAAAATAAATAAGTATAAATAAATACAAAGTTAACAAAACAAATATATATATTCTCATTTATTCATACGAATATTCATAGCATTTCTTTAGCTATATTATTTGATTGATTTGCACAAGTTTTAGAAGAATATTGTAGCTTTATATTTTATATTTCTTTGATTTTTTTTATGTTTTATTTTATTTATTTCTTTATTTTTTTCCATAATATTCGGAGCATAATTTGTTATATTTTGCCCATAATATATGTGCTCATTTTAGTCATATTTATTAGATTTGATAATAGCTTAAAGTAATCTTCATGTGATTAAGGAGTAATATTTTGCATATTACAAAATTGTTGCGCATGATGTATATGCAAATTTTTATTAGATTGGATCAACTTTATTTATTTTTTATACAAAAAAAAAAAAAAAAAGTTCTTTCATTCTCACTATAATTTTTATACCCTGAACCCATTGAAAATGGGAAATCAGGGTATAATGGTTTTGTGAAAAGTATGTAACAGGCAGAAGGAATCATCGCAGACCCCATAAAGTATATATATTCTTGATCAGGACGACGAGCTGAGTCGATATAGCCCTGTCCGTCTGTCCGTCCGTCCGTCCGTCCGTCCGTCCGTCCGTATGAGCAAAAGGATCTCAGAAGATATAAGAGCTAGAGAGCTGAAATTTGGCATGCATACTCGTGTATACCATAGGCAGTACAAGTTTGCTTTATTTTTTCGATAACTCGTCCGATAACATTTTTATCGAGAATAATCGAAAATTTGACATTGTTTTTTCAGCCTAATTTGAACACTTTTAGACCTGGAGACTTCAAATTTGCGTTGTATATAAAGTTAATAGATACAAAGATTTTGTAATTTACAGATTTTGCATACCACGCCCCCTTCGCCCCCAATTTGTAAAAAACGTATTTCAAGTACTAGAGACTTGTGCTTTGGAATGTACACACATTTTAGCCATATGATTACGCTCTAAAAGTTTCATTAAGATCGTATGTCTACAAAAGAAATTATTCAACAAAAAATTCTCATAATATTGCCCACACTACAGTGCAGCTCAAGCGCAGCCGCTGCTTACTGCGCAGTTAGCAGAGCGCGTGCTTATAAGTGCATGTGTATGTATGTGTGCATAAAAGAAGTCCAGAATGATTAGAATATCAGTTTGGAGGGTTCAGGGTATCTCCCAGTCGAGCAGTCTCGACTGGAGCCTTCTTACTTGTTTTAATTGGTCACATTATATGTATTCTTAAATTATATATTTTATATATTTAGTTTAATGTAAATTAATTTTTGTTTTTATTTTGCTACGTATTAACCAAAAATAAAAATGTTCTCAATTCAATTTGAAGTGCGTTTTTATCTATTCTCATACCACTGTGCCGCTGCAGCAGCAGCAGCAGACCACCAAATCGTTAAAAAGGGTACAAGAACAAATATAAGCAAAGCAGAAAAAAAAGAAAAACCCCGATTTGGAATCAACGGCAAACGTTGCGACTATCTTTGGCTGTTTGGCTGTTGCCCGCGTGTCTGTGTCTGGGGCCCGGGTGCCTGGGGCCGTGCCTCGGCACATATTCATAAGCTTGACTATATGTATCTGCTCCTATGCGTATTCATATATGCATGTCAGCGATATCTGCACGGCGCACACACACACACACACACACACACATACACAGCAGTGATACATTATCGATATACGTCGCTTGTCAATGTTCTTGTGTACTTTATTTATATTTGTTTAACTCGGTTATTTTTTCTACCTTTTTGTTTAATACCTATTTGACTTTAATAAGTGATTGTTGTAGCATTTAAAGTGTCGAACGTTGCGCCACTTCACTCACTCGCTCTCTTTCTGTCTCCCTCTATGTGTGTGTGTGTGTGTGTGTGTGTGTGTGTGTGGATCGAAGCAAGGCACAGGCTTAGGCACAGGCAACACTCGGGCTTGGCCCCCAGTTCGTCCGTGTCAGTTGATTCCATTTGACGCAGTGTCCAAAACCTCCAAACGCATCGATCGTTAATTGCAGCATTTCGCTTGCCGATCGCCAGCTCGCGAGTGAGATAGATAGCTATATAGCGAGTGTGTGAGCAATAGAGAGAGAGAGAGAGAGAGCTGACGCATGCGCATGCGCATTCAGCTTGTTTTTGCCTAGTTAGTTGGGCCCTATCAGCGAGTGCGTAAGTGGACCGCGCTCGGTGGCTCGTTCGCCCCGCTCGGTGGCTCGCTCGTTGGCTGGATCGTCGACTGGCATTTGATGGCCTATTGAAAACGAAGCGACAGTCAAAAGCGCGCGCACCTCTCGATACAAACGACACAAGCGAGCAGCCAGCGACCAGCCAGCGCCCAGCGAAAAATGTACGCAAAGCCCCAAAGCGGAAAGAGCCGTCGCTACCGTCGCTAGCAATCATCGCACTCGTCGCGTCAAGTGGACCGCGATATGAATTGAGTTGAGCCCCAAATTGCGCTAAATGGGATTGCCATAAATGAATTAGTATATGAATTGGATTCAATAATAAATCAGGCCGCGCCGTGACACGACAACTATCGTGACAAAGTCATTTGGCCACCTCCCTCCATTCTCTTCGCTCTCCCTTTCGCTCTGTCTCTCTCACTCTCACTCTCCAACACGCTCTGTGCTGTCGCTGCTATTAAATAGTTATTATATTTGTACACAAATTAAAAAGCGATCGCGCATTAAATATCGATCCGGTCGCGGTGCAAAATCGTGCAAATAATTGCCGCCGGCTCAAAAGTTAATTGAAATCAATGTGCAATTGAGAAACCAGCCAAGCCACCCAAACCACCCAAGCAATCCACCCACCCAGTGCCAAGTGTTGTATACAAATACAGATATATTGATATATAATATCTACGAAATTTGTCAAAAGTTTTGTTTTGTTTGTTTGGTTTTGTTTTGTATTGTTTTGGCTTTTGCTATTGTTGTTGTCCTTTGCGGAGCGGCACGCCAACGGGCGAGAGCGTCAACAAATTTTAATTATGAGCAATTATAATCCGAATTGCGGTTACTTTGAGGATTGCAGCTATTACACAAACAATGTATATCAACCGGATTATTGCATGCAGCCGGATTATGAATACAACAAGCACGTCTACGAGTGAGTACCCCAAACCCAACAGCCACAGTCCATAGACCATAGGCAAACCAAATTGGCTCAGCGCCATTTACCGTTTACCATTTACCATTTAGCATTTAGCATTTCATGTAATGAACGGATAACAGTCGCAATCACTGCGACTCAAGGGTCAGAGAGTCGCTGCTTAGCAATGCCGACGGAGTTTTTTCTTGACTATTCTATATTTTATATCCATCTATCGTGAGTCTTATTGAGCAGTTGCTTAAATAGGAATTAAGTGCCACGATTTCTTATTCAATATTTGACAAACTTTGGTTGAATAAATCACAGCATCGTTGGGAGTTTTGACCAATTGTCAGAATACTATCTATATAGCGCATGGTGTATAGCTTTATAGATGTAGTAAGCAGACTGCTACTCAATCACATCAATATACAGGAGAATCCCGATGATTCGAAACGGCAAGGGTATCAATCTTTTTCGATCTACACAGAAATTCAAATGATCGAGAACTATTGAGAAGGAATTTCTTTCAAGGGGATAGAGTTTTTTTTTCGATTTATCGCGATTTTTAATTTATCGGGATACAATCTATCGAGACTCGACTGTATATGCTTTACAATTGCTCCAAGGACTTTTCTTCAAAAGGCCTCGATCTCAACCATCTAAATATATATGTATATAAAATATGAATATGTACATATTCAGAAAGATGGATATTTAAATTCAATTTAAGGAAAACATATATCGAAAATATGCTTATATTGTAACATATATATTGCTGACTTGATGATTTAGACTCCTTGGAGAGTGAGCTAGCACAGTGTGGGATAGAAGTATGCAACCAATTGATGTCAGAATCGAAATCGAATGGCGCCATTTACAGCTCGCTCCAATAGATTGACGACTTTTACTTCACCCTATATAGAATAAGCAAACTATTCTGCAAACGATTTAGACTTATAGCCTGAAGCTCTATTATCAATGGATTTAGCGTGCTGTCGTATATGTATACATGTGTATAGCTTATTATGATTGAACATCATTTTGGTTATACAGTAGAATCCGGTTATAACGGCGCTCAGGGGACAGTCGGTATACCCGGAAGATGCTTTAACCGTATAAGTCTGCTCATATAAGTTTGTCTGGGAACCAGAATTTTCGTCGCAATAATCGTACGACGCGATAAACGGAGTCGTTATATTTGGATTTTACTGTATTCAACATTTTCAGGGCAATACATATATCTAAGTCTATCCATCAATATTTCAATCCATCCATCTATATATTTATACTGTCTATCCATACTGCCTGTATACCACATATATACTTACTACCAGCTATAGTATGCAGTATCCCGTAGCCAGCTATAGCCTAGAAATAAAACTGACTTTAGATTTGCTTTCGCTGCTAGAAAAGTTTTCAGTCTGTAAATATTTATATTGATAGTCTACAAATATTTATACAAGTATAAATTGAGACCTCTAGGTATATGGAACGCTATTCTGTGGGGTTTATTTACAATATCTCGAAATGTACAAGCCCATATCAACAAATATCTAAACTGATACTCAAAGATTGGCAGCTTTCCCTAGATATATCATAGGCATCTGCATAGGTATTCGCTTTCCAGTTGAGACAGGTGCCGTCGACAGTGTAAGGTGTCAAAAGATTTCCAGGAAATCGTTGCGGCAATTAAAAACAATTTGATTTTAAATCAGTAAAGAAAACAGAAGCGAAGCGAAAACAAGGCTCAAAGGCGAGTGCAGACCCGGCCCGAAAGCAGCAGCCACAAGACCAAGTTTAGAGGGATCAATCCACAAATGTATTAACATTTAATGGCATAACATAATGAAATTGTGCTGATCGCACACGCACACGCACACATGCAGATCGCATATCAGCCCGTCTTAAGCCCCTGATTTTCGCACACATACGCGCGCGAGTGTTTGGCCTAAGCCAATGTTACGGCATTGTGATGTGGACTTGGCTAGCTGGCTGACTGGCTGACTGGCTGACTGACTGGCCGGGCATGTGTGATAAGCCGAGGGCAAAAGGTGTCGCGTCAGCCAGAGAGCTCGCAGCTCGGCACACTCAACAATGCGCATTATTTCCACTTTGTCACCTTTTGCATTTTTGGACAGCAGCAGCAGCAGCAGCTAGGGCTACGGCTACGTCTACGTCTAGGGCGACGGGCGACCGGGTTTTTCACGGCTGCACTTTGAAAACCAAAACACATGTTTTGTGAAATCGTTTGGAAAATCACACACGCACACAGAGTGAGTGAGAGTGAGTGCATTTGAGTCTCTCTCTCTCTCTCTCTCTCTCTCTCTCTCTCTCTCTCTCTCTCACTCTCTCTAGCTCTCTAACAAATTTTACTTTAATTGGGTTTGTCCATAATCGTTGCATCGAACCCTCGGCTAATCTCGGATAATACTGTTTGCCAAATAAAAGCAAATTCTATTTTTATTTCCATTTTATTTTGTTGTTTCGCTCGCTCTGTTGTCACACGGCTAATTTTTCATTGATGTTTTTGGCCAAAAACTGAGCCGCTGCCTGGGTTTTTCCCTTGGGCCACAGGTTGCAATTCGTTTTTTCTTCTTCTTTTTTTTTTTTTTTTTTTTTGTGTTCTTTTTTGTGTATTTCATGGAGCACAGGTTGTTGCTCGAGCTGAAATCCAGCTGTAATTTAAATTAGAAATCTTGTTTGTTGTCTCTCGCCTGTGCCTAAATGGAACTAATTTGTATATTTGCTTATGTTTCTTCTCAATGCTGTTCAAGTTTCTTGCACAATGAAAACAAAAGCGAAAGAATGTGCACAGATCGCAAGTAAATAGTTGCCTCAAACCAGTCAAACATCTGAGTCGATTCTTTATTTATATTTATGCATATACATAAGTATATCTGTATATCCGTATATCTCTGTAGCCAGTTGGTCTCCTTAGTTTGTCCCCTTTTGAACAGTCGGCGCGCACTCACTTCACTTCACTTCACTTCACTTCACTGTGCTGGAGTTGAAAAGGACACGCTATGCACTTGTCTGGCACCCTGAAATATGAAGTTCGAAAACATAATTTTATTTGATGATACTATTTTTTATTAATAACACAACAACAACAACAACAACAAAGAAGCATTGCGCCGAGAGAAGCGTTGCTAAACGCAATTCGGAAACGCAATCAGTCAAGTTGAACGTACTCCAAAAATCGTAAACTTCGAATGCCTGGGAATATGTGCATATGCTGACATCGTCATCGTCGTCGTCGTCGTCGTCGTCGGCGGCGATGTCGGTGTGGATGTCGTCCCCGTCGGATGAGCCAGGAAGTAAACAAAGCGCACACACGAATAGAGCCAGCCAGCTAAACGCGCAACATCGTCCGATCGGCCTGCAGGCACCTCAAATACCCTCTACTTGCAGTGGACTTATCTTTATACATACATATTTATGTGCAGCTTATGGTTAAATTACGTAGAAGTGAAGCTATTTAGTTATATTTGATATATGGCTTTGATTAGAATAAGTAGACTGTGTGCATATTCTTTAGTACTTCTAAAGAAAAAGTATTTCAAAGCAAAAAGGATTAAACATATTCCTGAAATTAAATGAATTCAGTTGCATAAAATATTAATAAAATAAAATTAATAAATAAATAAAATAACAGCTTTATCTCAGCAAAGTAAAAATAGTATATTTTCAGGGCACGCGACTTCGATGAAATTATTGTAAACAACAGTCATATATTTCATTCAAGCAAAATCAACGGATTCAAAACAAAGTGTCCCATATAAATAAAAATTAAGAAAAAAAATAATAAAAAATATTTTACATAAGCATGTCAACTCTTAAACTTCTATAAAAAATTTAGATAATATTTTAACACCAATATTTGGGAACAGAAAAGACTCGGGGTTTGAGGTAGCATACAAATAACAAATGAATAAAAATAGTTGAATATAAAATAATTAAAAAAACATAAAATAAAAATTAAATATTAAATAAAAAATTTAAAAAATATATACAAAAAAATTATCAAAAATATATATAATAAAAATAAAAATAATTAAAAATTGGATGCTGCTTGCGCTCCTAATTGAAGTGTTTATCTTTATAAAATATTATACTTCTTAGTCAAATTACTTATTGTAAAATTTGTATTATTTTTCTTTTATAATTTTGTTTATATAATTCAAATTTTTTAAATAGTTTTATTATTGCTTCTAGCTCAAGAAAATTTGTTCTGTTTAGCTATTTAATAAATCTCATTTAGTCAACATTCAAATTTCTATGCAAACTGAGCCCTGAGCCAGCACCTGACAAATCGCTTTGTATTGTAGGGTATTTGAGTGTGTTTTGTTGCATGTTTTGAATGCGTTTAATACGCCCCTTACGCGCGATAATTTTTATTTATTTTTTCTGTTCTTTTCTCCTTTTTTTTTTTTTTTCGTTCTTCGGGCGCAAATATTAACGTTAAGTCGCGCTGCTTTGCTTGATATATATATTTTTTTATTTTATTTTATTATTTAGCAGAGTTGTCAGGAGGTCACAAGTTGCACTCAAAGTTGAGTTGACTTGGTCGGGCAGCTGCGAGAAATCGTAGCGAAGGAAGAAACATTTGGCAGCTGATAATTGCTTGAAGAGACTCGACAACTCTGGCTGGCATTTGGCTTTAGCCAGAGCCTTCATGGCCCAAACTGTCATCCGCGAACTATTTTCCTTTTTTTTTTGGTCTTTTTTTTTTGGTATCTGCGTGGCTAAAACGACGCTGTCAAAGCAGCCACTTGCCGGCGCTGGTTGTCATTGTTGTTGTTGGCGTTGTCTGTTGGGCCGTGGCACATGTCATGGATCGAAAGACAAAATGCTGCATGTTGAGCAGGTTGAGCCCAAACGGTCGACAGTTTGGGCCAGAAAACAGAAATTGATACATTTCATACAAAATGTTGCACAGCTTTCGAGCAGCGCGACGCGACGCGACGCGACGCCACGTGTGACTTTGTGACATTTAATGCCAGTTTCTCAATCAG